TTTTTTTTTTTTTTTTTTTTTTTTTTTTTTTTTGCGGTACGCGGGCCTCTCACCGCTGTGGCCTCTCCCGTGGCGGAGCACAGGCTCCGGAGGCGCAGGCTCAGCGGCCATGGCTCACGGGCCCAGCCGCTCCGTGGCATGTGGGATCCTCCCAGACCGGGGCACGAACCCGCGTCCCCTATTATCGGCAGGCGGACTCCCAACCACTGCGCCACCAGGGAAGCCCTCTCTTTCCATTTTTAACTGGACTTAGTTCTGCCTCTCTTCACAACAGTAAGAAAATCACTCACCACTTTCCCAACTTCTTACAGATGCTTTTTTTTAAAGATTTTATTTATTTATTTTTTAATATGTGGTCTTAATTATTTATTTGTTTTTGGCTGTGTTGGGTCTTCGTTTCTGTGCGAGGGCTTTCTCTAGTTGTGGCAAGTGGGGGCCACTCTTCATCACGGTGCGTGGGCCTCTCACTATCACGGCCTCTCTTGTTGCGGAGCACAGGCTCCAGATGCGCAGGCTCAGTAGTTGTGCCTCACGGGCCTAGTTGCTCCGCGGCATGTGGGATCTTCCCAGACCAGGGCTCGAACCCGTGGCCCCTGCATTGGCAGGCAGATTCTCAACCACTGTGCCACCAGGGAAGCCCTTACAGATGCTTTTGAGAGATACAGGTGAATGGCCTTGGAACCTGACATGTGTCCTCTGGGTTTTATTATCCATTGTTCTTGTCCTAGACTTAGGTAAATGGCTTTAGAAAGCCTTTATTTATTAGAACATATAAACGTCATTCCCTGTAGGTCTGGAGTGCCTACTTCGGAAATCTTATAAAATTTATTTTTAAAAGCACTTTTTTTATGCATTGGTTTTCCATAATGTCTATACCCAAAAATATAGATGATGTTTTAGGGAAGGAAAAAAAGGTGACAAAATTGTATGTTTAGAGAGTCTTGTAATAAAAAAAAAAAATCTCATTGCTTGAGGCGTTCTATATAAAGAGTTTTAAAAAATAACTTTACTAAATAATGTATTTTGTGGCTAAAATTCCCCTAACCTCACCCCTCCCACTGCCACCACCATTTGTCATATTTCTTCTGTGCACACTGTTCCAGGGCCTGGCTAAGCAGCTGCCCCTCTTATCACTGATTTGCTCACCTTGTATTTATTTTCCTTTCTTTGCAGAGACCCTCCTTGATGACTTCCTTCTCACGTACACAGTCTTCATGACAACTGACGACTTGTGCCAGGCGCTGTTGAGGCAATATCCTTCATTAACTTCAGGATGCTGTGTCGGCTTCCTCTCAGACAGATGTCTCGCATTAGGAATTAACTGCCTTTCTTCATTTACTCAACCCCTCGGTAGAGTGTGGCTGTGTTAAATATTCATGTCATGATAGCCAAGGTGAAAGATGAAATGAAACAGACTAGGCAGGGGGAACTGGAAATGAATGCAGAGCTGCTGTTTTCACATTCTATGTCGTGGGTAAATTGTGCTGTCGATATTAAGTTTTCTTCAAACCTACGTCTCAAGACTTTAGAATCTGGAGATGAATTTGGCCTGCTGGGTAAACACCAGAGTCAAGAGGTTGCGTGGATTGGTAATAACTGAACTTAGAAGACAGTCAGTCAGTTAGTGCCAGACCATGTGATGGGAAAACATACGTATGTGTTAGTGTGTTTCTGGGCAAATATCCCGGGGGAGACAAGGATTCCCCACTTGGCAGGTCTTATCCCCGTAATCAACTGTCATCATTTCAGAGCTTTGTCAGGGCATGCTCTCTTAGGGTGATGGATGTGATTAGAAGGTTGATGACCAGTTAAGGAGGCTTTAGGATTGCATACACTAACTAGAAGAGATGCAACAGATCAAAGGCTGGAAAGCCATGCCAAGGAAAGGCACTCAAAGTTTCCGAACGAGTGTCTTGCCTCACAATGTTTAAGGAAGAGTTTTTTCTTTATCATTAGTCAAGCCATAATAGTTAGAGGAAAAGAGGAAAACAACATTTGCATAAGTGGAAATAATGTAAGATAAATCTTTATATTATGCCTTTCAAGAGAAAAACTAGAAGAAATAGATACTTTAATAGATTCTTTTTGTGTTTGAGTTTGTTTCACAGGTAGAAATCAGAGAAATCGGATGTCCTTGATGTACTTTTTTTTTTCCTGAGTTAGTTGCTTTAATTTCATGGTGACATAACAAGGATTATAAGTATTTTTTCTCCAGATATAGCCATCCTAAAATGTTCAGGGTTAGTTATTACTTTTCTCCTCTATTTTATTTTTTTATTGAAGTATATTTGATTTACAATGTTGTATTAATTTCTGCTGTACAGCAAAGTGATTCAGTTTTATACATATATATATATATATATATATATGTATATGTATATGTATATGTATATGTATATGTATAGTAGTATTCCATTGTATATATACGTACCACATCTTTTTTATCCGTTCAGTCCTTGATGTCCTTTTGCAGGTTGGGGAGACAGTGACTGCATCATGTTTTAAAATAGTTACAAAGCCTGATACAGAATTGATTCCTATTTTGCAATTATATATCAGCATTAAAGAATATAGAATCCTGTCCAGTAACCCCAAAACCTACCTGTGTTTGGTATCATAGCATTTGCTATTTCTAGTTAACTTTTCAGTGTGTCCAAGATACTCAGAATGATAATTTGGGGGGCAAAAATGCTAGGTTATTTTGGAAAGCGCCAAGCTTCTGTCTCATTCCTAAGGCTTTAAGCATGTTGCCTTTGAGGTTGTTACTTTTATATAATTTTAACAGCATAGTTAATACATAGTCATTGTATACAAATTGGGAAATGCTTATAAGTATAATAAAAATAATTCATGTTCTCTGAAATCTCATTACCTTAAGAAGCCACTGTTAACTATCAGTATATATCTTTCCAGGTAATGAATATATAAATAAGCATAGTTAATAGAAATGGGTGATCCTAACGTATACTTTTCTTACTTGCTTTCCTACTTAGCAGTATACTGTGCATGTCTTGTGTCAGTAAATATAGTGCTGGACCATCAGTTTTATGGCTATAGAAAAGCCCTTTAAATGGATATGCAGTAATTTATTTAACTGTCCTCAATGGTTGAAGCATTTAGGTTATTCCTATTTAATAATTTTTTTATTCCAGTGAAAATGAAAATTAGCAGCCCTTTTTTACTTACATTTGCACACTTATCCATTTCTTTTTTTTTTTTTCACATAAATTCCTAGGGTGAGCGTTTGAATCATATCACAAATTATGATACAGAAATCTGTGCTCATTTGCGGCTACTTTAGAATGTGAATTTCTGATGATCAAAGTATATCTGGCCTAGTTCTGATCTAACTTTTATGGAAACAGTGTCCACCTATGTAGTGAGGCCAGATCTCTTGGAGCCCCTTAATCTCTTGTGATTAATGGGCCACCTAGGGTCTCTTGGAGGTGGCATTAACCCATGCTGCCTGTGGAGCTATGTCAGCAGCTGTCAGTTCTGTCGTCCAGTCTTTATCCTCACAGCCTGCCACCATGTTATGTAAATCGTTTTCCTGGGCTTACCCTCTTCAGTGCACACCTTTTACTCTCCCTACACATATTCTTTTCTTCCTGCATATTCAGGTACTTGTAGATTTTTTGGAAAATGTGCTTTAGCATAGTTTGTGAAAGCAAGAATAAACGGATCTCTTCACATTTTTTACTTGCAACAATGTAATTTCCTTAACCATTTGCACCTATTCTGCTAAGAAGTATCAAGGCAAAGAAGAAAATTCAGATGTTCCTTGTCGGAAACGGAAGGTCTTGCATCTTGTTTCCCAGTGGATTGCTCTGTACAAAGACTGGTTACATGAAGATGAACATTCAAAAATGTTTTTAAAGGTAATGTAAAACATCCAGTTATTGAGTAATTCTTTTATGCCAAATGACTCATTTCAAAAATCTCATTCGTGGGCTTCCCTGGTGGTGCAGTGGTTGAGAGTCAGCCTGCCGATGCAGGGGACACGGGTTCGTGCCCCGGTCCGGGAAGATCCCACATGCCGCGGCGCGGCTGGGCCCGTGAGCCATGGCCGCTGAGCCTGCGCGTCCGGAGCCTGTGCTCCGCAACGGGAGAGGCCACAACAGTGAGAGGCCCGCGTACTGCAAAAAAACAAAAACAAAAACAAAAACAAAAACAAAAATCTCATTCGTAGGTTACAGTCATCTAACTTGTTTGTAATATTGAAGTTATGATTCAGAGTTTTAATTTGTTTTGACCTCTGAAGCCTGATATTCCTTACATAGAAGAAGGCGAGTTTTATAGTCACTCATTTAAGGTTATTTATTTTATATAAGTCATGGGAATTTTGACTGCAAATGAAATAATTAAGGAACGTAAAATAAAAGATACTTTAAAACTTGATACTGTTTAATATGTTGAAATGTATTATAACTTTAAACTAACAATTCCCATATCTACAATAATGGGATAAAACATTTATCATTTAAGACCTATAGTGACAATGTATACATTATAAAACCTTTTCAGGACCTGGTATATTTTGAGACATTAGAGCAATAATAACCTATAAAATAGATACTAACCTAGATTATATTTGAAATTGGATAAGCTGGTATATGTGTCTAATCATTAGTAGGCTGCAGTATCTTTTCAATACCGTTGACTCTCTGGAGATGGTTTGTAAACAGTTGGATTCTTTTGGCCACCAAAACCATAATAGCTGTGCAAGTTAACACAGAGAAGGGGTACAGTGGAATTTGAGCAGGGAAGAGTTCTATTTCAGAATAGGCAAGTATCTAAACTGATTTTGCCTTTCATGAAGGAAATCACTTTGATTTCAAAATTCAGATATCACTTAGACATCCAGTTAAAAACTGGTTTAAATCAAGTCTCTGACTAAACTAATGTTATTTTCAAAACAACTGGGTAGGGCTTCCCTGGTGGCAGAGTTGTTGAGAGTCCGCCTGCTGATGCAGGGGACACGGGTTCGTGCCCCGGTCCGGGAAGATCCCACATGCCGCGGAGCGGCTGGGCCCGTGAGCCGTGGCCACTGAGCCTGCGCGTCCAGAGCCTGTGCTCCGCAACGGGAGAGGCCACAACAGTGAGAGGCCCGCACACCCCCAAAAAAACACAAAAAACTGGGTAGTTTAATTCAATGGATTTTTTCACTCCCAAATGGTTATGTGGATATTATTTCTAAAAATTTAGAACAGGCATGGAAATTTTGAGTAGCCAGCCAGAGATCTCTTAAGTTTCCACCATTCCCTACCTATAGCCTGTAAAAGCTTCCACAGAGCCACACCAGTTGAGCGAGGGGCTAGGAGGTGGAATCCCACTCAGGATCGCATTGGTACCTGGTTTAACCCCCAGCATTGTTCTGGATTCCACTTATTTCTCTGAGCAGGTTAACCACTCTATGAATCTTAATCCTTACAAAATAGGCGTCAAACCAATTAAGCTGAAATTTTCTTTTTCCCCCAGACCATATACAGAAACGTACTGGATGATGTATATGAATACCCAATACTTGAAAAAGAACTGAAAGAATTTCAAAAGATACTTGGAATGCACCGTCGTCAGTAAGTAATTTTCCTCATCACAGTTAGTAAAAGAAAGCAGCACAACATGTGATAGAATTGGGGGTGTCTCATATATATCATTTTGAACATTTTGAATCTGAGATTTATCTTGATTCCTTAGGTTTTCTGGTAGTAAATATTTGTTTTTATATCTCAAGATGAATGAACATTAAATCAAACTTATTGGCTATTTTTTTTTTTAACCTTGTTTGGTATGGTAGAAACAAACTGAGCCATGACACTCTGGGTACATAAGAACAATTATCTAATAAATTATTATTTAGTTTTAAAAGTGTAAATATTTAACTTGTCATTTGGGGGAGCTCATAGCTATCTCGAATGAATAGGAGAAAAGTTTCATAAATCGGTCCCAGCAAGTCATGGTGCATTTTTAAAGTTCAATTTTATGGCTTCCCTGAAGTTTCTTTATCAGTTCAGAAAACTTAAAGGAAAGCATTTATTCCATGACTTTTGTCATATCCAAGGTGTATCACTGAGGTGTCTTTCATGTTGCTAATACCTAACTTTACTCTGATTTACCACTAACTCTTCTTATTAATTTTGGTAAATGAAAACATCAAGTCACTGTTCAGTTTTCAGATGTAGCTGCAAAGTTAATCTGAAGGGAAAAATTGTTCTCTGATTTACAATGTAGTTTCTACGTTTTAAACATAAAACACATCTGTTGTCAAGTTGTGAAAAACTTCTATTAAGATTTCAGCAGTCACAAATGCACTTCTCGTAGAAAATGTTAATTCAGGCCTTTCAGATTATCGATTTGAGATTTAAAGCCTGACTTAATTTTAGTAAAGGGAGATCCTGTTTAGTAAAGGCTATATAAAGAATTTTAGGGTGCAAACAAATTATGTATAAACCTTAGTCCCAATCAGGAAAATCACACATTTAGAAATTCAGAAATGAGGTACAGGGTGTTAGAAATGAATGTTGTGAATTTTGGTTGTCTTCTTTTATCGCAGTCTACACTGTAATAAATTTCGGTAGCCTAAGACTAGTATGAAAATATGAACGAACAAATGAAGCAAAAAAAAAAAGAGAAAGAAACTTTTACATCAGAATAATCCCCTGCATGGAAGTTGATCTATGCTGTAAGGCAGGCCTTCTTACAGTTGGGAAAATTTAATTCTGGTTTAGTACACATTTAAATGCATTAAATAAATTAATGGAATTTAATACATTCCATTTAAAAACTTACATAAAACTGGGAAATAAAAGATTTAAGTAAGAAAATTGTCTAAGACATGATTCTTGCGTCTTTGGTACAAGGTGATGAAATATCTCCAGATTCTGGAATAAGATTTGAGCTGGGGACCTGCAGAAGATCCCCCAGTTCCACCACACATAGAAACATCCTAGAAAAGATCTGTCTTGGCTGACTTATTTAGCTATCTAAAGAACAATAATTTCACCTAAAATCTAGCCAAATATGAGAAAATTTAGAGTTTCTCTGGAAATAAATCCAGTTATTTCCTCAATGCTCAGTTTCTATGGGTAGAAAGCAAAATATACCTGTTGAATAAATAGCTTCTTTTCTTCCTGGTTCACTGGAAATCCAGAGCCCAATGTCAAGTGTGTTATGCACAGTAAACTAATGAACACTGTGTGTTTTATATTTTTGAAAAGCAAAAACCTCTGCCCGCTGCCTGAAAAGGAGTCTCTGTGACAATCACTACATTATTACACTATTCTGGGTTTGAGACAAAGACTGATGTCTTGTCCTTTTCCTTTCAGCACTGTAGATGAATATTCACCACAGAGGAAGGTAAGGCAGCCCCTTCTGTCTGAAACAGGGTGATCTGGTTTGGAGGCCTGGCCTTGGCCCACTTGATATTTCTTCATAATTAATGAACGCTGCCTCTAGCAGAGGAGGGCCAGGTGGGGAGCCGGGGGCTACACCTTGCCTCCCCGCTCCTACCTCACTTAGCTTTCCCTGTGCTTATGCAGATTCAGTTTCAGCCAGGTGCCCTAGACTTGATGACATTCTGAATTTTTGTGGTGCGTTTTGGAGTCTCAGAGTTTCCCCAACGTCCCCAGAATGATATAAATTTGATTTTTACTCATTGATGTAAAGATAGAAAACCGTCTATGCAAGACTCTTGCCTGCAAGAGTAAGGAAGTCTTGTAAGAAGGTTGGAACCCTTCAACCCAACAGAAAGAGGGATGGTAGCCAGAATGAATGTGTTTCCTCTTCATCTTGGGGGGAAAGGCTAAATGAGATGTCAGGTACAAGTTTTGTAGGAGCTGATATATCAGGTGACGGATAATCATAATGAATCACGTACCTGTTTCTCTTAAGCAAGTCATTGCACTACAGCAGAAGCATGAAACTATCTCGACGTGGCTTTATCCAAAAGCAGGGCTGCTGTGGGGGTGGGGGAACCATGCCTTTCTCAGGAGAAGTAGCTATGGATGTTTGTAGTAGCCAGGGTTAAAAATCACACCCATATTCTCCGGCATGTTGCAGAGAATCATTTTGGGGGCTTTTTCCCTTGGCCAAGGTCTATCATGTTGCTCAGACTCTCCACCTCCACATGCATTAAGTGAGGCAGCTCCCAGTTTATTCATCTAAGATTAGATGGGTGGATTTCATATTAAAAAAAAAATTGGCACACTCTTTTGGAACATGTTGCAAACAGCTCTGGTTTTCCAAAGGGCAGCAATACATTCGTTCATTGTTCTTGTTCTCCCTTCTTGCAGAATAAAGCCCTTTTCCACCAATTCAGTCTTAAGGAGAACTGGCTCCAGCATAGAGGAACTGTGACGGAAACAGAGGAAAGTGAGTATGGTTTGAACAAGGGTCTGGGGCAGGTGGAGTAGCAGCTAATCACCATCATTCTCCAACTTTAACACATCAGCCTGCCTTTAACCCCTTCTAGCTGCCACACCCCTAAGACAAGCGTGTTAGCATCCACAGTGATAGTTGTTCTTCTCTTGCTGTGGGCGTTACAGTTTTCTTTATCACAGAGTACTGTCCCAGGTAAGGAAAGGAGACTGCAAAGAGCCCCCTGCGTTCTTGGGGAGATGTGCAAAATGGACTGGAAAGGTAACCTTTCCCTTTGGCTGCCTTCTCCCCTGCTGTCAGCCCATCGCCTGTGACTCACTGGAAAGTCCACTAAAGCCACCGTGCAGGGCTTTGGCTGAGTCAATCCCTGAGGTTTAGAGAAGAAAATCTTGTAGAAAATAATGAAAGGAAGGATGTGCAGTCAAAACTCCTCCAAGGCAAGCCTCTGCTGGGCAGTGCCACACGTCCAGTGTGTCCTCAGTCAGTGCTGCTGGCAAAAGGGTTCGTGACCCACCCTGAAGAGGACTGCTCCATCAGTGCAGGGGAGACACCTTTGTAGCACTCTGAAGGTGCTGATGTGCTGCTTTTTTTTTTTTTTAATCTAATTAATTAAGTTATTTATTTATTTCTCACTGTGTTGGGTCTTCGTTGCTGCCCACAGGCTTTTCTCTAGTTGCGGCAAGCGGGGGCTACGCTTTGTTGTGATGTGCGGGCTTCTCATTGCGGTGGCTTTTCTCGTTGTGGAGCACGGGCTCTAGGCGCACGGGCTTCAGTAGTTGCAGCACGCAGGCTCAGTAGTTGCGGCTCGCGGGCTCTAGAGCACAGGCTCAGTAGTTGTGGCGCATGGGCTTAGTTGCCCCGCGGCATGTGGGATCTTCCCGGACCAAGGATGGAGCCCATGTCCCCTGCATTGGCAGGCGGATTCTTAACCACTGGTCCACTGGAGAAGCCCCTGGCGTGCTTTTCTACATTACTGTTTTATAACGGAACTGGAAATGGTTTCCTCCTGTTTAGATAAATGTTGAGTCAAGGGCAGAGCTGGGGAACACAGCAATTCAAATGTTCATGCTATTGTGACTTGGAGACTTTCTCTTTTAATTCGCCTTTCCCGACAGCGCTGAAATTTTAAGTGTGGACGTTGAATATTTATTCAACTTATTGAATGTTTAAACAACAAAATGTCACAGGATACCTCTTCTGTTCCATTGTTTGTGTATAACCAAACATGATGGCACTCGTTGGGTCATAAGTGTCACCTGTACCAAGTGGAGGAACAAATGGAATGACCTGACCTCCTCATCTCTCAGTTGCTAACCTTCCTTCCCCATTTGTCTTACAATTAATTGTATAATTTTCCAAGCTGAGTTTCAAAGAGTCTCAGTATTTCAAGACCTCCCCGCTCCTCTTTTTGTTCATCATCTTACTGAGCAGGCTGTAAACTTTCCTCACGTTTAGTAGTTTGTAGACTGCAGCTTTGCCTTGCTCCAAAATTCCGTCTTTTTGTGGAAGGAAAAAAACCTTTTGTCTCTCACAAGTCTGTTGACAACACATAAAACAGCTATTTGTTAGATGCTGTGGTTTTAGTGACACACCCAACCAAACCCAAAACAAAATACTGTCAGTGCCTCTTGGTGGCATGTTTACTTTGTGGTTTGTACTAGTAAACCCATAGTTTGTCTTTTGCTTCATTTGCATTTCTGTGCAAACGTTCCTGGGTTTATTTTTGTGGTGCCATTTAAATTGCATATGAAATTTCTCTAGGACCTGCACTCCCCATTTTTTTTTTTTTTTTTTTTTTTTTGCAATCTAGAAGAGAAGAATAAGTATATTATTGTCCTTCTGTCTTTAGTAAAGAAGCTGGTGTTTTACACATTCAGAATGGCTGATACAAGAGACAAATGTGTCAGTTATTTCCATTGCTACAGTTTCTGCTATTAAATCATAAAGAAACATTTTTTCCAGGGCCCATTCACCCTGATAGTGATAATGTCCTAGTAATAATGATTAGTACCACAGACAAGAAAAAGGAAATTAAAAAGGCTGGAAATTTGACCTCCATTTGAAAACTAAACTCACTACCACCTTGATGTTGGTGGAGGGACAGCACGCAGAGGTTCATTCTTATATGAGCAGGAAGGCTGAAGCCAAAAACCATAGCAAGTGACAGATTTTTTAGATAAGCTTATGAGAATTCAAATAACAAAATGTGGTGGTCTTTACTGAGCCACTGTGCCTGTCCAGAGGTGAAGTGTAAAACAAAAATGTTTGAATTAGACGCTTTAATAGACCGCTTTGGGAGATCACAGTAACCCTCAAAGAAGGGACTCCGAAGTCTAGTCCCTGTTGCACAGATCCCACTGTGTTGTGGCCAGGCTGCCTCTACCCTGAGCAGACGCTTTTGCATGATCTGGGTCTCTCACTACAGTATGGGATGCTTAAGCACTACTCCACCTTGCTCAGCAGCTTTATCACGTCTCCATCTCACGTGTGTGCAAGCTCGCATTGCTGTGCCCTCAGGCACCCGTGTGCACACATATATATGTAAATCTAGCTGTGTCTGCTCTGTACTACAGGGAATAGTGTGGCGGGTGCCTTGATTTGGGTGAAAAGTCTGTACCTCATGGCCACAGTTGTTCTCTGTCTACTCACAGTTCTTTCACCTCATGCAGTTTTCTGTCACGTGTATATCACGGAGCACTCCTATGTCAGCGTGAAGGCAAAAGTTTCCAGTACAGCCCAAGAGATCCTGAGAGTTGTGGCGGAAAAGATCCAGCATGCGGAAGAGGATCTGGCTCTGGTAGCCGTCACATTCTCTGGGGGTAAATTATTTTCTGTCTTTGAATATTAATCTTTCACTGGATTGCCTCCAGAAGGAGAGAGTTGACATTTTTATGGAGTAGACGTGCAGCGCGTCCCTTCTGGGTCTGCAGCTGGATGAGCACTCTAACAAGAAGCCGCCGCCTACCAGAGGTGTTTCCATGACAACAGTTGGATACTGAATTTCCTCCCCAGGAACTGAGCAGAGAGGCGCGCCAGTGTTTTGAAATATATTATAAAGCTTTACATATTTTGTACTCTAGATAAGCCTTCTGTTTTCATATTTAAATTAACTTGGGAAATTGCTAAAGGATGAAATTACTTTCCGAAGAAAAAAGAAAGGCAGCGTTGAACTAGTCATTTTGCTGGCTGACAGTTTAATACTTAAAGACTCCCTGTTGAAGGAAATAAAAACTGTACAATAAGCCGAAAGCTCACAGGCAGTGTTCCTTCAGGCAGACGTGGGGAGTGAGCCCTGGTTATAGTTTTTGCCTCTGTTGGGCCTTATTTATCCTCAGAGAATGGTTTATTGTCTGTTTGGAATAAGATCACGGAGATTACAAGCTGATACTATTGATCTGTGTGACCTGAACAGACCCCTGCATTTTCACTGGAGCCTGTCAGATCTCAGTGTCACTGGCCTCCATTTTTGGCTTACGATCTTTATTTAATATCTCATCAACCCTGAGAAAAATACAAAGAAAGTGACTTAGTCCCAGTAGTTGAAAAATGGGAGTACTGTGTAAACTAATCAGCCAGGGATGGGGCGGGCCGGCGAGGGGGGAGCAGATACAGGGCATTCCTGTTTACCCTTTGTTATCATTCTAGAGTCAGGAGAAGATCAGAATGTATTGTACTTGATGCGGAAGCATTATGTGATGGAACATTGCCTCTTTCGCTTTGTTACTCAGAGGCAGGTAAAATGGGCCTGCAAGCTAGTTGATTACATATTCAAACAAATACAGCCCGGCTCCCCTGTCCTAGTTAAGTGAGGCACTCATTCCTCTCCCATCAAAACATTCTCTAAAGAAAAAGAGCAAAAATTTCAGAAACTTGTGGACTACGTGAATTTTAATCAGGGAGTAGTTGAATGTTTAATAAACTATTTTAGGTATTCCAGATAAATATGATATTTGTATATTAATTTTAAGTGACCAAAGATATTAAATGATTCTAAACAGTATTAAGCTTCATCAAAATCAGCATTTGCCTCTCAAGGCAATACCATAACCGAAAGTAATCACTGGGTCCCCGTGCAGACAGAAGGTGCTGGAGAAAGAAGGACCCTGAGAGAACCGAGTGGCACAGCTGAGACCCACACCCCCTTGGAGGCTGACTCAGAGTCGGCCCAGGGCCACACGTGAATCTGGGAATTAAGGAGTGGGTCTTTTACTACCCAATATCTATTTGATGGCTGTGAAGTACGATTTTTACACTCTAGTAGATTCATCTGTCGTTCTAATGTCTATAGACTCAGAGCTAATCATCACTAACAATATCAGTTTATCTCTTGAATTATCTCACAGGTTTGGAAATATGCCGTCATTTTCCATCAATTAGTAGTTTTGTCTGTTAAGAACCTTTCTGCCTGCAGCTTCATATCCCCCAAGCAATAATGTTCTTATGAAGAAAAAAAGCCCACAGAGCTTAATGTATTCCTTGCTCTAGTTACGTAATTTTTAATAAATGTTTTAAATGCTACATCAAAATGAAATGACAGTGAGATCTACAGTTATTTTCTTTTTGTTAAAAAAAGTTTAGAGATATTGGCCATGTTGTAGGTTTTGTGGACTTTTCTAAAAGGACTGGTATTATTACCCTCACAGCTTTCAGTAGGTTTCTAGCTGTTTTGTACCCAAGTTAGGTATATATGTATGTAGTAACAGAAACCTACCCAGTTACTCAGAGCTTAAAATCTTATCACTTTTCATCGTTCATGGTGTAGTGACAAATCTGAAAGTAAGAAAAACACTTCTTAGCAAATGGAAAAATTGCTGTCTGAAAGCCATGGCATTTGCAGAATGCAAATTCCATAGCAAATGCAGAATGGCTCTTATAAAGTCAGATTTAAGGTATATATGGGCACACAGAGGGTTGCAAGAAATTGTAGCTAAAGAGGGAGGAGATAGAAGAACGTCAGAGCCCGGCCATGTGGGACCATTTACTGCCGACGTCAACAGCCTGACCTGACAAATACTACTGATCTTTGTAATGCTGGGCCATAAAGAATGTATTCGAGTATCATTTGTGTACTCTGTATCAAACAGAAATGTTCAAAACAAAATCTGGCGCTTGAACTGATTATCTAGAAAAAGAGATGTGGCATATTGTATTTCCAACCATGCTGGGTAACTGGAGGGCTACCTTAGGAGAGGCTGATTATGTCACAGTGGAATAAAGTTGAGTATCACTTTGGTCGATTCCCGTCTGCATCTTGTAGGTGGGGGGAGGACATTTTTCTATGAGAAGCCTATTGTGTTATATAAGAGTTCAACTATGGTAGAAAAATGGCCAAAAGACAGGAACAATAGGGGAATAAAATAGAAGTAGAATAGATGAAAAAAAAAAAAATAGATGAAAATATTCACCTTTACTAGTAGTCAAGAAATACAAAGTAAACCGAGAATCTACTTTTGATTTTAGCAAAACAGTCAACTTATTCAAAGGAATGGTGAGCGTTGGTGGGTGTAAGAATTGGAAAGCAGTTTGGCAGCTTGTATCAAAAACTTTAAAAATGTTCCTTCGCTTTGACCTAGGAATTCCACTACTGGGAATCTATCTTAAGAAAATCATCTATAAGCAGCCAAAGATTTATGCACAAAGATGTTGACTTTGGCAATATGTATACAGCTGCTGTAATAATAGATCCCATTTCTCAAATCCCTGTTATGTGCTGGTCCCTCTGCTAGTATTTAGCATGGTTCTCGCTATCTAATTTTTATGACCAAAAAAAACTGGAAACCATTAAATGTTCAACAACAGAGGAAAGATTAAATGATGGCATAATAGACAGTTATCTAACCAATTACACATGACATGACATTATAAATAATTTTGACAAGTGGGTAAGTACTTAAAATAGGAATATAAAACCACATAAGGAATAATTACAAATACATATATCTATAGTGATTATTAATGCAAACATATAAATAATAATTGTGACCATATGTACATGTGTGCACACACATATTTGCATAAAGATCAAGATGGAAACATACTCAACTGTTACCAGTATTACTATCATATGGTTACTTTAGAGTGATGGGATTATGAATGAATTTTACTTTCTTCCCTAAGCTGTTGTGTGTAAAGAATGACTAAATATTATAAGAATGAATCACAAGAGGGTACCTCTTTATGGATAATGAGCATTGATTATCTGGTATCATTGTATAGCGTATGCAGACCTGAATTCAATCTACTTCACATCCCATTTACTTGTAAATATTTTTCTTTGGCAAATTTCACTCTTTAGATGTACTGTGAATGCCTACTGGGTGTCCTTGGGTTTCTAATTACTCTTTTTTGTAAATACAGAAAAGCATGAACTTCAGCCAAATGACTTGGCCATCTCCAAATCCCTTGAAGCATCTGGTCGGATATATGTCTACCGGAAAGACCTGGCTGACACTTTGGTGAGTACCTTTAGCCTTGTACTTGAAACACACAGACACAAACGTCAGACTGAGAACATGTAGTTGTATGTTTTAAAATGAATGTTAGAAAAATACATCAAGCTGTTTCCTCCTGTAGTCAACAGTACACTTTTCAAACAACACTGCTTTTGCAAATCAAAGTCAGGCCCATTTTTAGGGACTCTCAACCCCTCCTAAGTCAAGTGCTATTTCTCTCTGAGTCCCTCTGAAACAAGGGATTTGAGAGATGTGACTCTTTCTCTGATGGAATCTTTTTTTTTTTTTTTTTTTTGTTACGCGGGCCTCTCACTGTTGTGGCCTCTCCCGTTGCGGAGCACAGGCTCCGGACGCGCAGGCTCAGCGGCCATGGCTCACGGGCCCAGCCGCTCCGCGGCATGTGGGATCTTCC